CACACACACACACACGCTCCCTTAACAAAATACTGGATCCGTCAGTGCGTTAAGATCTGTGCTTAAATGTCTGCCACAGTTTTAATACCTGTCACTTGTTTTAATCCCTGACATAGTTCTTCTCTAAGTGCATGAATCGGGTTAATAATGGTCACAGTGAAGGTTTTGATTCAGACGTACTGCAATGGGCATAGTGAACGTTTTTATTCAGTTTTCAGTACTCAATAGTCAAGTCTGCAGTCAAAGATGTATGATTTTTAGACAAATATTATCGATTATTGAGAATGATCAATAATTGAGAGCTGGCAAAAATTTACAAAAAAAAAAAAAAAAATGCGTGGATATTGTAGTTGTAATTAGTAATGGAGGAGTGCTACTACATGTCGGTTATCAGATATTTATTTGTTTAAATTCCCAAAGGCAGTTCTCTTATGGACATTGGCGTGAATATGCCGACATATCTGCAACGCACCTTATTGTATATGTATATGTATCACACTCAGTCAACAAACTATCTGACAATGGTAACAACATATTTATACACAGCGTCGCCAAAGACGGCTCTTTTACGAAGCACTTTGGCAGCCTTCTCAAAGTCGAATATGGTGACGCTTTTCATTCCTTTCAGTGTCCCTTCTTCGATCACGTGTTTGATCACGAATAGAATATCTTTCTTCCGCACCCCGACGCTGTTACGTCGGCCAAAGTACCCAGAGAATTCCACAGTGACTTTCCTATGGGGTGTCTTCACCAAGACTTTCTCGGCATGTTTGACCTTGCTGAGGGGAAGGGAGCTGAAAGCACAATAGTTAGATTTTTGGTTTGTCTGCTGATCACTTTAATTAGTTTTAGTTTATCGAATAAAGCGTTTTTAACTGACACAATTTCCAGTGCAGTATTTTGCCGTTTATTCGCTTGCTTGATTATTTCTTCTCTTTCTCGATTACATATCTTTTTTTTTTTTTTTTTTTTTTTTTTGCTTACGGCATACTGAACTTTCCAAGAAAAATGTACTTCTTTCAATCCCTTTTTATTTTATCTTCATGAAAATATCAAAAAAATTATATTGAATCAGTATGAACTGTTCGATTGACTTTTCAGATTAAAAAAGTAAAACAGTAAGATAAGATGGCTAAAATGCTTTAAGAAAAAAAAAAAAAACTAAATTAGATTAGTAGCATGTAGTTAGTCAGATAGTAAATGTGCATTAAAATCATGTTACCTAGGGAGATGCAGTGCCCGTTTGTTTTCATCAACATTATGCTCCGCATCTGTAAGTAAAAATTCGTCTATGATTACCAGAACCAAGAAATAAAAACAACATATTCAAGTTTGATTTTAAAGTCAATTCTGCTGATTTTGCTCTGGTGTAATAGGTAGTCTAATTGTTCTTGGAAAAAAATAATAAAGAAGCACTTGCTTCTTATTTCACCTCACTGATTTTATTTCAGTAAAGAACAAACATTGAAAAATGATGCCAGCCATATCTTATTTACGTTAAACACACCTTCACGCGTCTTGGTGTCGATTTGCGGATCTGAGTACTGGCATATCAAACAATTTAATGGAAAGTTCATCATAAGTCTCTTCTAAATAAAAATTACAGGTGTACACATTGGTAATAATGAAATGTAGGCCTATATGAGTCTGTATACATTTTGTGCTAAATCATTCAGGTAAAAATTGCACGTATCCTACTCTATGAGAATACTATTTATAAAAGACATCAGAACATGCTCAGTACAGTGTAATATGAAATCAAATGCATAAAAAGAAATAATCATATCAGTTATTACGGTTACCTTGTGTCTCCTGGTGCCCCACTGTTAGCCCACAGATTACCAGGAAAGTGAGAAATCTGTAATAAAAGCCGGAGAGGATTTATTTCTGTGTAGACCATATGTAGTACATGTAGTACATTGCAACTTCGAAAATTGCGGAAAGCAGATCAGTAAAATATTACAGATGAAATATTCGTTTAAATACTTAATGATTTAAGCATAAAGTAATATAAAGCACTTAAAACACAATAGTCGCTCTATAGTTAAAAAAACAGATGTATATGAATGCCGTGAAATAACCTTATCCAAAACAAGAAATACAGGATTTTTTTTTTTTTTTTATTATTTTTTTTTTTTTTTGCATATCATAAACTTAAAAACTTAAACTCAAAACTTATTGTAATTATGCGCACCTGAACAACTCCCTTGTTGACATGTTTTTCTTCCTTTAAAGACGACTTCTCTCACTTCATGTATGAGCAATATGTCTGCTACGATAACAGGTAGACTGGAAACTGGTTGAGGGGCTTATATACCCCTCCCTCACGTGATCTGGGGTCGTTTCATGAAAGAAATGTAGACAGAAAGTTTGTTTAAACTTGAATACACAAATTTGGAACTCTTCTTTTAAGAAATATCAATCATAAGTTAACCGGCTTGGAGAAAGCAAGTTTATTTGTAGATCTATAGGTCTGAAACGATGACCGTGTATTTTTTATGTTTTATTTTATGAACTACTACCGACTTCTAGACCTATTAGTCTGAAAGTGGAGGTTGAGGCGGCTTTTTTTTTTTTTTTTTGAAACGCCCCCTGTCACCTACACACTGTCAGTATATCTAATGACATGTGAGTTTTTTCTAATTACAATTTTAAGAAATCACTGCGTATACACGGTAACTTTCTCCATTCTAAATCTAATATATGCTTCATGTATATATACATGTACTATATGAACAGGTCCATGCTCCAAATTGGGAAAATATTAGCCTATTATCATTAGAAATAAAAATTGGATAACGTTTATAGACTATATGTAAGCAGTCAACATCTTATTCAGCGCTGCGTATTTAATTCTTATATAAGCGTTTTTTTTTTCAGTTAGTAGCTTATAACGAGACAATAAGGAACGAGATTTCAATCGTGTTCGTAAGTAATTTGACCTTTTTGTTTACACGAAATTCGATCTATCAAGGTAGTCAGAGCGAAGATATGCATACAGTACTTTGATAGTGTAAGGTGGACTGTCTCCGACGTCAAATAGTTCACCTACATTAAAATGCCATTTATATCGACATTTATACTGGACAGCGTGTATTCATATGATATTTTAATATAAAAGGTTCGAGAAAGACCCTATCTAGCTTGAGAATATTTAAAAGGCGTAAGGTTGTGTCTAATTTTTTAGCTTTATTTTACATTTCCAAGACATTTAACTGAAGTTGTCGACTACAGAGCTGAGTCGTCTTGTAGACTCAATAAGCCGATATAGACACCCCAAAACAAACTAGTGACGAGAGAAAACGAGATTCCGTACATAAAACTGGGCCTGACTAAGCATCGAAGCATACAGGGTCCAAGCCAATACCCCGAGGTTCTTGTATGGGTACGCTGTCCTCTACTTATAAAATGTCGACCTATCCACTGCATCAATGCAGGCGTTTGTCCCCGCACCCCTACTTATTATATTTACTGATCTTATATTATCTCTTACAGCTATTGGTTCATATGGTTGTATGTTCAGATCCCCCTATATTACTAGATACACTGGTTAAGGTCAGATAAGGAACCACCGCAAGGAGGCAGCTTCTGCCTATATCACATGACCGGCTCACACGAAGGCTCGTGTGCTGAGCTACGTACCGGCAGCCTACAGCAAGATGGATTTTAAGCTTCAGGTGACTTTTGTTTAGAAAGTAGGTTACCGTTCATACCTGACATATGTATAACGTAAGATGACTCTTATTTTGTTGTTGTTGAGCTCAATGGGCACGGTATGCGCAGGACGTAATGTGACCGATTTTGAAGCGAATAGTTTTGAAGATTTCTATTAATTTATCTTTCACTCGTACAATTAAGCTACACACTATCTCCATTGTTCGCGCACGCTTTGGGCATATTTAGAGTAGATACTCAGAGTATGCAACTGGTGTTTGAAATGAAAAAAAAAAAATAATGATTTGGCGAAAGATAAACGGTCACTTTGCACGATAATAACTTTAATATACATATTTTTTTCGTTTGCACTGTCGTCCGTTTATACGTCTGTTCATGTAGTGATCTTTGATTGTGAATCAGTAATATTCCAAAGATGTTTACTGCCAGAAGATATTATTATTATTCCCGACAGGTATAAAATGAACTCAACGATAGACGACATTTTTCCCCTAACTTTCGTTTATCAAACCACCAAGTTAAAAAGCAGTGTAGTTTGACTGTGTCTACCGGTTATCAAACCACATTAAACCTGAACTTCCATGAAAAAAATTTAAACATTTTTCTGATTCGTTTTATTTCAGCACTAAAAAGCAAAAGCAACAGCAATGTTATATAACTCAACAAACTTAATTACTAACTTGGACTACATAAAGCACATAACATACCATGGGTTTAAGTTGTAATTTAGGAGACCATTCCTACATAGTTTTGGATCGATCTGTCTCCCTTGGGGTGTCTCACTTAACTGGCTTAAATGTCTGTCACGCCTAGTAAAGCTGTTAGGGGGTAATTATCTTTACACTAGCTGATTCGGTAGGCGTGACAGACAGTTAAGCCTCAAGTTGAGCTCGTAGCAACTTAACGCGATCCACCAGATGGATCGATATAAGTATAGGAACCCAATTTAGGACATACCATTGTGGAATTTGAGATACGAGGTGATAATATACATCTACGTATATTGCATGTACCAGTGCACTAGTAGAACTCGCACTTTTCACAAACACACTGAAAAGGATTTTAAACTATGGTTTGGAACCATGACTTATGAAGTGATGACATACTATAAACTTGGTAACTCTCTAGCTTGTCTCATATAGATAAAAAAAGAACTTGCAGGATTAACCAAATTTATGGTTTCGAACCATGATGTGTAAAGAGTGGTAACTCTATAGCAAAGGACTCAAACATTATTAAACAAATTTATTGTTTAGAACCATGATATATTAAGATATACTACACGATATACTACTGTATAAAGTAAATCTATAGCATTTCACATTAAAAAGGAATGACTTACAACATTTGAATCGTATCCTAAAAATATATTATACATAAGTAAGATATATATTTAAATATAAAAATATATTGCGTTTTCGGCTAGTCAGTGTGTATACATTTACCCTCGTCAATATAACCTTTTTTGATAAAACATTACACAATTTGCAACTTTCTCACCGAAAACAAAACTGACCACAAACAAACATACGAGCAGACCATTTGTGATCCACATTTAATATCCAGTATACAGTGGTATGCAACGGCAAAACAATTATATATTGATAAATAAACAAAACAAAAACCCCACTGTGTAGAATTGAAGCTACATGTACAGTATAAACCCCAAGGGGATCGAAGGATTTAATTGTACTACTACACTACAGGTAAGCATGATTACATGTCACACACAAAACATTCGCTTATATTAAAGATGTATTAATATATTGCGTTTTCCGCAAAAATAATAGTTCCCATATATATATATCAATCAATATATATATATATGGGAACTATTATTTTTGCGGAAAACGCAATATATATATATATATATATATATTGTTGATCAACACTGCTATAATTTATAGTATAATGTTTGTAGTGTGAACCCGATGGTTGTTCCATACACTGATATCTCACTAACACAACGAGAGAAAAAAACTCAAGAACTACCCTATATCCATATCTATACATTTCTTAGTAAACATCTAACCAGCATGTTGAATAGGCAATAAAGCATTATTACAGCAGAAGAATTAAAGCCCTCATATGAAGGGCAACATGGTAGATTTTGTGGCATACTTTATGCATAAATTTTGATACTAAGGCTAGAAAAGAAAGCATTATAAGCGATACCGTTACAAACAGAAAATACTAATACAGGGGCGCATCCAGAATTATTTATAGGGGTCGGGGTCCGCAGATGCAAAGCTGACCCTCACCCCCTACTTGGCAAGGGTTCTGGGCCCGCTGAAGTACCCTGAAAACTTTTGGTACTTTAGAGGGCGCATGGTGCCATTTGGTACGACATAGAACTACGATTCAGCTAGTCAAAATTCTACTTTCAAGAGGGGAACGTTGGTTTGATTTTTTTCAGAAATCGAAGAGGACGGGAGTAGGAGCCCACCCTTCTAAATCCGCCACTGTCATATATTCTTAAATAACATTATAAACCTGCCTAACGGCTACCACAGACGGTGCTACATATAAGGCTTATGCTTAGTGGGAAGAGAGCAACAATGACGAAAATCAAGTTTTGGAATTATAGGATAAGGAAGAGTGCAAAACAGCAATCATTTAATTTTTGCAGTAAATATATGTGCATGGCCTAGAATAAACAACACGCTGATATTCCACGAGAAATTAATGTTGAAAGTAAAACACATGTACGTACAGTAGTTCTTGAGGTGACGCAAGATGTTTCAAAACTGTCAAAATCATAATCAGTTTTTAAAAGTTTAATCAACTGTATCAACCAATACGGTGCAAGGGTCCCACAAATACTACCTTCACTGTAGTCGAAGTTTGCCTGTCAACACTGTGATTTGGTCTCGTTGAAACTCGATTTCTTCCTGTGCATTCTGAAGCGCGATTTGCAGCTCTCCGTTCGTCGGAGACTTTTTTGATCCTGTTGTAGCACAAAGAAGCAAAATTTCAATACAAAGTAAGAAGGAGATCTCAAAAACATTTGTTTTTCGCCAATGGTGTATATAAGCAGTGGTTTCGACAATATAATTCGCCATATCCATCATATTACCTTATAGTAATTTTACCAAGTAAAATGTGAGCAGAATATTGGGAATTACAATTATAGATACAAAGGCGTACAAGTAACATTGCATCTGCCTAGATACCGACTAAGGCTATACTTCTGTGAATGTATTTAAGAGTTCGGAATCACAAATTATTAACAATGCGTGTATAAATCAAAATATAAATACCTCTAACTGCTTCAATTAACTTTGGAATCAATTCTTGGTGCTTGACTGAAATGCATTTTATGCCTTTGAAAGGAGAAGGGATTTGCTGCGGAGAGTAATCAATTAGAACTGGAATAACTGGGTTTTCTCTTGACTCCACCGCTTTATGAATGGCAAGCTCTCTTTCCCTTGTACACCACGGGCTCTTCATGAAATTTGTGGACAGGAACACAATGGTGCACGTTGATTCATCAACCGCTTCTTCAATAGAAGTTGAAAGCGACTTTCCTAGGTGAAAGTCACGTCTGCCAATGCAACACCTGACTCCCTGTTTTTCTAGCTGCTCTACCACAGGTTCTACGACGCCCTTGTCTTCACCACTGTGTCCAATGAATGCGTCGTAGCGGAGGTTATTCAGTGAAGAGCTGAAGAATGGAAACAGTTGCTTCAATCAGATAAATTCCAACCGTATACTAGTATGACATTTAAGCTTCAGCCAACACTGATTGCAAAATAAAATGAATCGGATTACCGAATAAAATAAAACAATGACATACCAGAAAAGAGGACAATAACATTTCGACACCTTTCAAATCGGTTCATATGACAGTTACCTCGTAACTTGCGGAATACGGGTTGTTGAACTTTGTGTGAACATGTACTTCGCAGTGGTCAGGGTTCTACAGAGTGCCTCAAATTCATCGGGGGGCATGTTTGTAATGTTTATCACCATCTCAGCATAATACTCTACTGCCGCACCTGTTACGGAAGAAATTAAGTAGACCTTAAATATAGTGAGATGTGGAAACAGGTTCCGATGTGTTTTTCAAATTCAGTCAGTTAATTAACACATTTTAGAACACGCTATTAGTCATTTTAGTGTACATGATACATGCAACAACGAGCATCATTTGGTGGAGTTATAGCCAAGTATATATAAAATTGTACATTAGTTCACTGCCATCATTGTAGACATATCTTGGTTAAATAAATTTCACATTTCTTCACTACACGAAAAATACAAAGAAAAAAGTAAACAAGAAAAAAATTCCTTAAAACAACCACACATCAATGGATATATAGGTTTACTCTTTTCACTATGTTTTATCTCCACCCTTTCTCTTTATCTCTAATCTTGCACCAGTTGGATTTCTGTTGCATCGATTTTACTGAACAAGATAAAACTTTTTAATGTATCGAAATAATAAGCTAACATAAATAGATTACTTACTGGACAGCCGCAGAAAGTTTGCAGCCAGTAGTCCAACTTTTATATCTTTAATAGTGGTATAATTGTTCATGGCGACCCAATCTTTCAATCCTTGAATTTTGTGCAATAGAAAGACTTCAGGAAAGTTCGGGTCCAAGTTGGTCAGGTTAAATATGAGATATTCTGTAGGGTCTAAAATTTCAGCAAGGTACTCCAGAGTCCTGGTTTGAATATACATCTGTAAAGATGAAATCAACAAGACTATTTTATAGGAACATGGTGTAAGGTAAAAACAGCTGCATGTAATGTTTCATATATCAAGACACCCATGTGCTGTTATGCCAATAAATTAAGCCCCTAACGATCTGTATTCTGGGGCTCTGCATAACTATGCTAAAATGTATATTCCTTGTATATATAAATTCATGCATCAAATGTTCCCATGATATATCTTTCAAGGAATGGAACACGTGACGTTCAAAAAGACTAATAAAATTATATGCACGGTATAAGCTTACAAAATAGTAACTAAAATGATTCTGAATATGAAAATTATTTTAACTATTAAAGCTCAATGCATCATAATCCAATACGCGTTTAACACTTTCTCACTGGTACATATACCTGTATGTCTGGTATTTCAAAACGCCTCAGCAGTTCAACCACGGCAGTGCGCTCTTTTTCTTCTGCCAACATTCTTGGTGTCTTTTTCTCCTGCGATATATATAAAGAAATTATTATGACAAAAAAAATGGGCCAAAATTGAAACCGCTTTATACAGACCGGTGAAAAGTGTTTTCCAGCACTCCCCTAATTTTAAAGATACCCTATCCTTGTACATACCTAGAGTTGTTACAGTATGTGACCATGGTAATATACTGCTTATTTGCCCTAAAGTGTGTTTCAGAGTGAAATGCCAGGTCTTTCTCTCAGTGTTCTGGCATATATTACTAGGATGACAATGTGTTATCTCATATACATACCATTCAGATTAAATACATATGCATGACTTACAGTATGTTGCTAAAATACTTTAACATGAAATGCTTTTTCACGTACATCAATACAAGTAATGAACTACACACTAAAGAATAATGCGTTAAAGAACTAATTGTTTTATGTGACTCGAGAAAATAAAGCGGAGCCACGTTATAATATATATCTCGACAATTCTACACTCACCTTATCCTGATTACTGCTATCCGCCCCGTGTTGGAGGAGAAGCTGGACACATTGTGTGTGGCCGCCACTGGCAGCCCAGTGAAGTGGCGTCCTCTTGTAAAACTGTGGATATGTACAAAGTATATGATAAAACATATATTTCAAATGCAGTAAAAAAGTATCGGGTTTGATAATAATGCTTAACTGAAAAAATTAAAATAAAGTAACCAATCAAATCGGGCTATGTGACTGACATGTTCCATCTTTTTCGACCTCGAAAATAATTTCTACACTTGTTGACTGTTAAAGAAATTTAACTTGCAAACAATAATTCCCTTTCCTTTTACTCATTTGATTATTCTTCAATTATAACTTGCAATTAGTGAAAGTGTATTTCATTTATTTTACAACGTTACAACTAAACAAACGTTTTCCCAAGAGGAAAAATATTCCCAAGAACAAATGTTATAAAGAGTAAAGGAACACGAAGCGGATAAAATGATTATACACATGCATTTTGGATATTTTAATTATTAAACATTTCAAATAATATAAAAAATTAATCAGAAACATTAAATATTCCTTTTTTATACTTTCATTAATTTCATTAGTTTTTTTAAATTGGGCGCGTTACGTGTTATATTCTTGAAAGTGTGATGATATTTACATTAGTTACATTTGTTATATAATTTAAAAAACTGATCGGTTCCGAGTTAATGTTACAGGTAGGTTTGGCTTCTTTACAGAACTGTATTAACAGCTAGCCCAGTGTTACAGGGGATAAATAAAAGTATCATTTCAATTTGTCATTTCTATGTAAAATGTTGAACAAAATAATAGATATTTAATCAAATAACTTTGTTTCTACTTCTATATTCAAAACCACGCTTTAAGCGAAATTATACTTACATGTAACTAATTGCACTACTGAAAACATTATGCCGTGTTCTATTTTACAATGTGCTTTATGTTCATTTATTCATAAATGAGAAAAGACTTGGTCAAGAGAATGTAAACCACAATAATGTTTCTTGTCACAGCTTAAGGAAAAATGAAGATGTACGTAAATGTAGCCATACTGCTGTGTTCTGACAATTCTACACTCACCCTATCCTGTATACTGGTATCCGCCCCGTGTTGGAGGAGAAGCTGGACACATTGTGTGTGGCGGCGAACTGCAGCATAGTAAAGCGGTGTCATCTCATCCTGTGGATATTTACAAACAATGTGATTAAAACATATATTTCAAGTTCCGTAGAAAAATATATTGGCCTTAATGACAAGGCTTGACTGAAATAAAAATGATCGGTGCTGTGTTAATATTAAATGTGGCCCCTGCATTAATTGGGCCTGTGATAACGGCTCAGTGATGAACTGGATTAATTAAATCATCACTTCGATTTGTCAATTCTTTGTAAAATATTGAAAGAAATAATGGATATTTAATGAAATAACTTTGTTTGTACTTCTATATTTAACATCACACTTCAAACATAATTATACTTAACTAATTGCACTACTGAAAACATTATGCCGTGTTCTATTTAACAATGTGCTTTATGTTGATTTATTCATAAATGAGAAAAGACTTGGTCAAGAGAATGTAAACCACAATAATGTTTCTTGTCACAGCTTAAGGAAAAATGAAGATGTACGTAAATGTTGTCATACTGCTGTGTTCTGACTATTCTACACTCACACAATCCTGTATACTGGTATCCGCCCCGTGTTGGAGGAGAAGCTGGACACATTGTGTGTGGCCATGTTCTGCAGCCAAGTGAAGTGGTGTCCTCTCCTCCTGTGGATAAGTGCAAACAATGTGATTAAAAATATATATTTCAAGTGCAGTAAAAAATGTATTGGGTTTGATGATAAGACTTAACTGAAAAAATTGTTCGGTGCCGTGTTCATATAAAATTTGGCTTCTGTAAAGGGGCTGCATTAATAACCCAGTGGTACAGTGGATTAATAAATTTATCATTTCAAAATGTCAATTCTATGTAAAATATTGAAAGAAACAGTGAATATCTAATTTCATAAAACTTTACTTGTAATTCTGTATTTGACATCACCACGCTTAAAAAAAATTATATATATATAATTGCGCTTCTGTTAAAATTATGTCGTGTTCTACTTAATGTTGATTTATTAGTTTACAAGAAAAGACTTGGTCATGTAAAACACAAAATGTTTCTTCCCACGACTTCAGGAAAAATTTAACTGTATGTAAATGTGGCCATACTGCTGTGTTCTGACTATTCTACACTCACCCAATCCTCTATACTGGCATCGGCCCCGTGTTCGAGGAGAAGCTGGACACATTGTGTGCGGCCGTTACCGGCAGCCCAGTGAAGTGGTGAACTCCCACCCTGTGGATATGCACAAACAATGTGATTAAACACATACATTTCAAGTATCGTAGAAAAAAGTATTGAGTTTGATAACTAAAAATATTGATAGGTGCTGTGTTAATATCAAATTTGGCCTCTGTATTGGGCCTGTATTAACAGCTCAGTGATACAGTGGATTAATAAAATCATCATTTCAATTTGTCAATTCTATGTAAAATATTGAAAGAAATAATGGATATTTAATGAAATAAATTTGTTTGTACTTCTATATTTAACACCACACTTCAAACGTAATTATACTTAACTAATTGCACTACTGAAAACATTATGCCGTGTTCTATTTTACAATGTGCTTTATGTTCATTTATTCATAAATGAGAAAAAGGCTTATTCAAGAGAATGTAAACCACAATAATGTTTCTTGTCACAGCTCAAGGAAAAATGAAGATGTACGTAAATGTAGCCATACTGCTGTGTTCTGACTATTCTACACTCACCCAATCCTGTATCATGGTATCCGCCCCGTGTTGGAGGAGAAGCTGGACACATTGTGTGTGACCGTGATCTGCAGCCCAGTGAAGTGGTGTCATCCCAGCCTGTGGATATGTACAAACAATGTGATTAAACACGTATATTTCATTGTATGGAAACAAAATATTATAGGAACGTGCCAACGTCAAAGCAGATCGTTTATTTCATATGTGCACGTGGTAAATGTATAAAAACATGTTACATGTATGGGATTCTTGTTGAACTTATTATATTGTTTACATTGGTATATGCCTGGCCTATCACATAGAAAACCTCGAGTAGCGGAAAGAGGGAAGGAAAAGTGAAATGATGCAGTGGATGATTCAGTCAATAGCATGGGTTGTCTGCATGAAAAAAATCGTTATTTCTTACGTGTAGCGTTAAATTCCATTAAAAATATCGACAACGGCGTAAGTTAAAGAGAGAGAAATCAAAGTTCTTACGAAGCCCTGGACATTGATGTCGCACTGCCCTGCAGTCAGCAGACGCTGTAACTTCTCTATATCTCCAACTTCTGCAGCCCAACAAAGCTGTGTGCCATCCCCTGACACCCAGTGAAGCCATAGGTCATCCATACTGACTGGTGGCTATACTGTACACATTCCAACGAAGAGGGCAAGGTATGTCTACATTTCACTCATCTGAAATAATATGAATAAGCATCATAAGTTGAAATATATAAAAAGATGAAATGTACAATATGAACTTACCAAATATGTAAAGACCCAGAAAAGAAGCAGCTTGACACAGAGACACCACCGTAACATAAAATATACAAAAAAATGTACAATCGCTTTTACATTATCTCATCCATCTGTGGTCTCAATCCCGCTCCTACCTGACGTGACCCCCCCCCACACACACACACTCACATATACACCCCGAAGAAATGTTCTGTGCAGCTTAAATGTCGCTATTAAGAGTACTATTGGTGTTATCGTTAAATCATTCTGGTCAAGTGATTCCTTAGACTTGGGGATTTTGGAAATCGTCATGTTAAACTCATTCAGGTTTAAAGAGAAAGTAATATCAAAATTACTCACGGAGATCCTTACTGGCAAACAATTTCATCAATTTTATCATGACGGAGGAAGGAACATTGTACCAAAATATTAACATTAATTCGTCAACCCAGTGGCAACGAGGTATATGTCACTTGTTTATATCTATTTGGTAGATAAATCACATTTCAATAAAATATCGGGTTAACTTACTAGTTGGAAACAGCCCGCACAAATGGCGACTATCTATAATTGTGACCTACATGTACATACATGTTTATCACCTACGAGGTACAGCTTGATAAAGCCTCTTTGCCTCTTTAACTTACCTATTTATCATACAGGTGTGTATATTATATACACACAGTATATAACACGTGAAACTCTTTTCTATTTGTGTGACCTATATATAATAATAAAACCTACTTCGTCTAGTATATGCTACATATTAGCCAATAGAATCGGAGACACATACGTTTTCCTACTAGAAGATGACAATTAAAACATTTTGAAGAATAACCCAATCAGTTAAGCGGACTTGAGTGAATATGCAAAACACTCCTTTGCCTTTTCAATTTGTCAATTGTGTAATCCTCTCAGTTTGAAGCAATCAAATGTATCCTTTTAGCTTACTTAATAGTCTACATGCCTAGATCGATCTAACAGGAACGAGCCATCTCCAAGGGGTTTCTCGCTAAATTGCTTTCATCTTAAGCGGCTTAGATGTCTGGCAAGCCTACTGAAGCTGCTAAACGATATTAATTACCGCACACAAACACATACACAAACACACACAAACACAAACACACCAAACAAAATACTGAATCCGCCAGTGCGATGCAATCTGTATATTCATGTCTGACACAGTTATAACATCTGCCACTTTAATAATTTTCACCGTTAGATACATGTGTTTTTATTCTTTATGATTCCATGCAAATAAGTTTTACCGAATATTAACAAACCAAGTTGCAGGTATCTCGTTCACACCCGTGCATGCATTTAAAACCATATTCAAGAAAACACATGTTCGCTTACCAGTGAAAATACCCCTGCAAATGTATTATTGGAAATTACCATTTGTTTCACAGAATTTCCCATTTTTGCACACCCAAACAATTCATATCACCCGTGTGACCAACGCTTATGTGTTGTCTGGAAAATTCTAATCTAATCAAAAAGATAAATGAAGAGTAAAAAGGTGGCTTTTAGCGGCACGTAGAAATATATGAAGTAGACTTCACATTAAAAAAAGTATACAAAAAAGCAACATTGCTTTAATAATGTCACATTTTACTACGGTTTTTCCTCTGCTCCGTTCCCGAGAGACGCTCTCATGACCTCTTACAAAATATGCTCCCTCCAGTGGTAATGTCGCAATAAAGTGTCCTGCACGTTTACTTGTTTAATCATATTTGTTAAATGATCCTTCGGGCTTGATTACTTTGGAAATCTTCACATAAAAAAATCTAAGTCTAATGGGAAATTTCCGTCAAATTATCAAGGGAGATCCTTACGGACAACAATTTTTATAATTTTTGATGACGGATTGAGTATTATTTTATCCACATGTTAACAATAACTAGACACTCCAGTGACAATGAATTTTATGTCACTCAATCATATCGATTTGGGTGATATATCACTTAAAAATAAATTATTAACTCTAATTACCAACCAAAAACAACTGGTACAAATGGCGGCTTTCTATAAATAGAGGTGACGAGGGGGGTTCTAAGGAAATTCCCCTTTATTGCTGTTGATGCGTTTGTCACAACAAGAGCAATATTTTTTGGTCAAAAGATCAAAAATAAATCTGTGAAAGAGGTTATTTTTTACGTGCGACCAACATACACATAAATCACCTACAACCCAAAAGAAACCCCTTTGGCTCTTCTACCTCCCGAGGAACATTTATTATAACAAGCAAAACAATGTCATAATAATTTTCTATTTCTATGTCCTATATACATGTACATGTATGAAAGGCCTAACAATCAGCGTGCCTTTGTCTACCATTCTATCTCTCCGAAGCGAGTGAAACATTTTTCTCCTTCAAGGAAAAATATCTTTAAATGTTTTGATCAAGCTTCTTTTGAAAAAAACAAGTCTTACTGAAGAATAAAGTCACACAACGCATTTGAAATAAAACAAAGTCAGTTTAGCTGTTGTATTTTTAAATGATGTGTTGAACGGGAAAAAAACCTCATAGTACCAAAATTATATAGAATCCGTTTTCCCATTGCCACTTTTTTAACTCTCCCGCTTAAAATTGGTCATTTGTGAACCTATATAGCTACTTAAGCACTTGCGTTAACCGGACTTCACTAAGGGGAGGGGGGGGGTTGGAGGATATAGGACGCGTGCAAGAGGGTCCCATTGGGTATTACCAAGCTATGTTCTATTTACTGCGATGAATGAAACATCCCGTGACTAAAGTGAATGCAACTTTTTATTATTTTCCTTCCGTGATACTAAGTCATTACACCTGGTGGTTCGAAAATTTCATGATTTCTACTCTCATGATCAGGGAGGTATGAACTTAATTCTATTTCGCAGTTTTATTTCGCGTGAACTGTGATCACTGCCTCCCAAATGGGACCCCCGTGTATGGGTGGACAAGACGCTTGTTTCTTTCGTTTTATTTGTCATAGGTGTTCAGGGGGGAAGGATGGTTCGGTATCAGGACAATTCCCCCCCGGACAATTCCCCCCCGGACTATTCCCCCCGGACAATTTCCCCCCGGACAATTCCCCCCCCCAGGACAATTCCCCCCCG